AACTCACTACAGCTGTTACACTCATGTTACAGTTTATTGCCAAGTTACAGCCAAGTTGAGAGACACATGGGGCAGAGTGCAGTAGAGTTCCAAAAACAGAGCTTCCAGTTTTCCTCTCCTGGTGGAGTCGTGAACAGTATTAACTCCTCCTGGCAATGATGTGTGACAGTACACACAGAGTATTGCCAATTAGCAAAGCCTTGGTGTCCAGAGTTTTGACTGGGGTTCCTCACATAGATATAGTTGATTGCCCATTTGGCTGAAATCAGTCTCCATCCCCTACCAAGGTAGAGCTGATACTGCATGACCCAAAGCACCCACCATACATCGCATTGTTAGATTTGGCATGGCCCAGCACCCACAGGTAAACTAAGACACTCTTACCAGTCAGGATAGTCTAAGGATTTAGAGATTACTTCCAAGGAGCTGAGGGCAAAGACCAGACCTCTGTTTAGGCAAGATTAAATTATTTACTACACATTTATGGTTTTTCTAATTTTTAAGTTATGTCTCAATGATTGTTTTTAATCTCATCTTTCAATTGTATATTTCTTTTGCTAATTTTATAGGCCAGAGGAAAAAAGCGACAGAAAGGATGGTTTCCTGCCAGTCATGTTAAACTTTTGGGTCCAAGTAGTGAAAGAGCCACACCTGCCTTTCATCCTGGTATGGAAGTGGGTTAATTTGTATTTCATTTTAGAGGAGTTTGTTAAAACTCAGCAACTTCTTAGATTAGCTCACTCTTTGAAAAACATTAAAAATGTGTTCTTTCTTTACGTCTGCTTAAAAGTAACATGCCACTGAGAATTTTCTTTCTGAAAAGTTCAGTGTAGGAACAGCCAGCTTATTCACTGATACTTGAACCACTTCAACTCCTTGAAATCTTTCAATGTGTAATTGTTACACCATCATACTTAAAGTGAAGTACTTCACTTGCATTGTTAACTGTAGTTGGGAAGTTCTTGTTTTTGTAAGACCAGGAATAGGGGAAGGAGGGTGAGAAAGAGAGCAGTTCAAGGGAAATTTTAGCCTAATTTTAATATTTAATATTAAAATAATTTAAATCCTAGGGAGATTTCAAATGATTGACCCTTGAAGAAATAATTAATTTGTTTAATGTGTTATTTTGTTATTCTTGTGATAGTATGTCAGGTGATTGCTATGTATGACTATGCAGCCAATAATGAAGATGAGCTCAGTTTCTCCAAGGGACAACTCATTAATGTTATGAACAAAGATGATCCTGATTGGTGGCAAGGAGAGATCAATGGGGTGACTGGTCTCTTTCCTTCAAACTACGTTAAGATGACGACAGACTCAGATCCAAGTCAACAGTGTGAGTAATATTAAATTATTTACCTCTCACCTAGTATGAAACTTTAAAATACAGCACTGCATTTATTCCTTTTCTGGATTAGATCCTAAACTCAGCATTCACAGCAAATGTAGATTAGTGTTTAAAGTGAGAAGAAACAAAAGGAAACTTTTTACAAGGTCAGAAGTTATACAGCTTTATTTTAAATACTTGCTAGCTCCAGACCTTAATATTAGACTTAATCTGAAAGAATATATAATTTTTCCTACGAGTCCTTTGGTATGACTGCCATCTATACTGCAGCTTCTTTTCACTATCTTCCTCTTTTTCAGTGTCCCATGTTCTTTTTTGGTTTAATAAAAAGTCGCTAGTGGCCGGGCACAGTGACTCACACCCATAATCCCAGCACTTTGGGAGGCCATGGTGTGCAAGATGCCTTAAGCCCAGGAGTTGGAGACTAGCCTAGGCAAGATGGCGAAACCCCATGTCGACAAAAAATACCAAAATTAGCTGGCTGTGGTGGCACATGCTTGTAGTCTCAGCTACTTGGGAGTCTGAGGTGGGAGGATCTCTTGAACCCGGGAGGTCAAGGCTGCAGTAAGTCATGATCACACACACTGCACTCCGGCCTGGGCAACAGAGAGAAACCCTGTCTCAAGGGGAAAAAAAAAAAGTAGGTAGCAATTACCCTATTCACCTATTCAAAATTACTCTTTTAGCGTACAGAAGCCGTTAAATTTCCAGCTGTCTCGTTTATTTTCGCTGTTTACATATCATCCATGTTGGAAGAAAATTAAAACTTAAATATTTATGACTGTTGCAAAATTCTTGTCAGGTGATTCTTTAGATAGCCACCTTTTTCCACAAGGGATGTATAAATCAAGGTCTATTTCATTATTTTCAGAGCAGGGGTCCAGATCTCGAAGTGTGAAGTTTGGTATTATATAAAATCATCTCTCTATGTTTACCTAGCCATTCTTTTGGTTGACAATAAATACAGCATTAGTAATAAGTTAGGAAATAAATAGTACTTGGAAATAACTTTTTACCTTTATGAAACGATTGTCACTTTTTCCCACTCTTTGATTTTTAGTTTTATTTTTAAAATATCTCATGATATATGTCTTATGAAATGTAAAATATTTAGCCTTTCATTTAAATTCAGTTGCTGAGAATATATAAATGGTAACCCAAACAAAACTGAGATACACTTATGATTCAGTATAAGGATTATGAATATATACCATATCTATAATTTTGTGCATTATTTTCACTTTAGAGCTTATAAAGATAGTTCTGACCCTGGGAGAAACCTTCCCTTTAGATAAAGCAACTAAGTTTCCCAACTTGGAGATGGGAGGAATCCAGTTTTTTTGTGATTTGAATATTCCCAAAAATATTACAGGATTTCAGAAGTGATGAAGAAAATTGTAACTTGGGTTGTCTAATAAATGATCATTTTTAAGCTCTGCTGATGGTTTGGCAGTTCACAGTGATTACTTAGAAACCAGTTTATCTAATTAGCTGTGGCATCTTTCTTGGTGTTGAGAATGGAAAATACTTTTCAGACCTACTGGATTTGGAGGATTTTTGGCTAGTGATCCCTGAAGGCATGCCAGTGTGTCAGTACATTTGGTTTTTATAGCATCTATGAACTAAAGTTAGGTTTTTCAAATATGTTGTTGTTGTTTGAAACACTTTTCCCAATTAAGTGTCATATAATAGGGAATATAAAGAACAGACAAAAGCCATTTGAAAGGAAGGACAGGACTGTGGCCCCATGTCTTATACCTTTCCCCTGCCTATTTTATGAAGGTCCTTTCAGTTTCCCCTCTGCAGATAATTTGAAAATTACTCTGAAGAAATCTACTAGTTCAAGGCAGTAACAATCTCCTTGGAAAGTAACTTTCCCAGAGAGTTCAGTGACAATTTTTGATTCCAAAAAGAAGCAGCATAGTTTCTGGTTGTCAGTAAAAGTTTAATACACTAATGAGACAGAAAATAGATTGATATCATCTGTTAGTTATTAGTTATTCAAGGACACGTTTGTCATGGAAATTACTTTTGCCCAGAGAATGCTTCGTTTACTATTTTAGTATGGGTAGAACTGGCAGAGCCTTAGTCCACCTGTAGATGAGAGAGATATCCAGTCTAAACGACGCTATCCGGTAGAATTTCATGCAATACAGAAAATAGTCTGTATCTCCACTCTCCAATACAGTGGCCACTAGTCACTTGATTGTTTGGAGTGTGGCTAATATGACTGAGAAACTCAATTTTTAATTTAATTTAACTTTAATTTTAAGCTGAAAAGCCACTTGTGGCCTGTGGCTACTGTGTTAGACAGCGCACCTCTAGAAGATAACCAACTGTAATGCAAGCCCTCCCTGAAATAAAACATGGAAGTAGCAGGGCTGGGCACAGTGGCGCACACCTGTAATCCCAACACTTTGGGAGGCTGAGGCAGGAAGATTGTTTGATTGTCAATATAGGGAGACCTCATCTCCACAGAAAATTTTTTAAAAATTAGCTGAGTATGGTGGCACATGCCTATAGTCCCAGCAGCCTGGGAGGCTGAGGTGGGAGGCTGCAGTAAGCCATGGTCATGCCACTATACTCCAGCCTGGGTGACAGAATGAGATCCTGTCTCAAAGCAAACAGACAAGGAAATATTGAAAGATTAAAATAAGAAGAAAAAGAGTAATTGTCTTTCAGTCATTATTGACCTACACAATGATTTTATAGCTCCTATGTGCTTCAGATTTTACTTTTTTATGGGGTTTTTGGATTTTATGTTAACATTCTTCCCACTGTTCATTTAAGAAATTCATCATTTGGTATTATTTGAGTGTCTACTCTGTACTGACTAGGAGTACTGGGAATACAAACAAGAAAAGACAATCCATTCTCTGAAGTAGCTTTAGAGGTTAGTGGGGAACAACATTCAGATAAATATAACAGTTGCTGTAATGAATATTTATACAAATATGTTTTGGAAAAAGACCCCCTAAATCTTTATGGAGAAAGACGGCATGTTGTGAAAGATGTAACAGAAGATATTTGAGCTGGTACATGAAGGATAAGTAGTAATGGTTTGCTGGAATGGCAAATGTTGGGGATGCAAGGAGGAACTTATTATTTTCTTGGTCATTTTACATACTGACAGCTGGGGAAACAAAATGTTCAAGAGGTTATTTTAAAATAAGAGTAGTTTCAAATTTCTCTTTGTTACAAAGTTATTAGCAGTAACTTACCTATTACCTTGTTTCTGGCTGGTGTATGTGGGTTTTTTTTTAGTTTAATCAGATCTAAAAACTGAATACTTTACTGTTTTGCCTAAATGAATGGCTAAAGGCTTGTCATCCATCCTGGAATAAAAGGGCTCTCAATTCTGTAATTCTAAGGATAACTTCCAAAGAAATTCCTCTGAGATGGTTTATTGTTTCTATAAAACAACTGTTTAAATTATCTAGGAAAGTGAGGAGTACCGATTTTGTTTATTTGAAGTAATTTATCAGAAATTGAAGAGTCATAATTGCTTTTTCAAAGAAGATGAAGAGTAATGTTAATTATGTTGGTGGTAGCTATGAATTTCACTCACATTATTTATATTAACCTATAATTTTAATAGGATATGGTTCAGAAAATGTTTAATCCTTAAAGTCAGGAATAGATATGAGATCCTTGTTGTACCTACCCGGATTTTTATAAATGAACCATCTGTTTGTAGTCCTTGTAATAGTCAATGAAAGCTAGTTAAATTACAGATTACCATTTGTGTTTCTTTGGCCCTTATAAGTATTATTTTTCATTTTTTACATAATTAGAACTTTTTTTAAAATAGAGAATTTTAACAGTTCAAATTTGTTTAGTTGATGTTGCATGTTGTTACTAGTCAAATTTTATCTCACCCACCTAATTTGCATTATGTTCATTTTATTCCTCATTTTCTTTTTTTAGGACCCAATGTTGTCTTCCAGTTGTGAAAGCACCCCAGAGACCCACTATCCAAGTTTCACTCTAGCGTGGAGGCAGGGCAGGCAGCCCTGACCACATATCTCCTACACAATTCGTTCACTTCGTTTGAATGTTAGAGCCACTTGTGATTATTTTTTTGTGTTTCTAACTTATAGTTTAAATTTATTTGTAAAAAGTTAAAGGATAGTGGGTCTTTGTGTGGCTTTCCCTGCTGTTCACTCTGGCATCTTTAGCATTTTTCTTCTTTTTTAATTTGATAATTGTAGGTCATTAGCATGCATATTGAGTTTGCCCTTATGTGGTGGGAGTTCAAACACACAAAGACCCACTATTTGCACAAACTATTCTTACTGGTTTGTAATAGGCTGCCATGCTTTTTTAATGTTATTGCAACATGTGTATTCATTTACAGAATTCAGATAAAATTTGCTTATGTTCTGCTATTATGTTTAATCCTAATCACAGTGAGCTCTTAATTCGCTCAATATGTGGTTTGCCCTCAAGTGCACACTGTTTATTACTTTGTAATATGCCACTATGAGTACTGACATTTAGATTTGTTTAAAGGCCAAGAACTGGAAACAGCCATGCCCTGTTTTCTGTGTATTCGGGATGGGAATAACAACATTTTGGGGGAGCTTTTTAAATCTCAGAGAAGAGGAAAGTGGCCTGCTCTGGCAGGCATGTGCAGAATAGAGTGTTTCATTTGTTTCAGTCCCAAGAATGAGCCTTGTCCTATGGTCGTTCCCTTAGAATCTTTATGTGCTCTGGGCTGATGAAGATACTGCATCATGTGCTGCAGCGTTTGTATTCTCTTTCAATGACCTAAAAAGGGATTATTTTTGAGGAATGAAAGACTCCCATCGTTGACTGTGAGATGTGAAAAACCTTTCCTAGCTTAGAGCATTTATATCTACAGTCATTTTAAAGTCAGAGTTCATTGTTACCTGTTTTAATCAGGTGACTACATGTCCCAGTATACAAAAGGGCACTGGTCGACATTCTTCTTCATGTATTTAGTAAAGATCATAAGAAGTCCTTTAAGAGTTTAAATGTCCCGAAAACAGACATGCAGGCTCCAGTCAAGAATGAATTAGAGTGAAGGAGAGCTGTGTAACACCTGGCATTCCTCTGTGTTCATGGAGCTTCTTTGAGGCTCAGACTTCTCTGGCTAATGCCTGTTCTTCAACCACATTGGCTACTTTGACATAGAAATTTACTTCTTTTCCTTGAATGGAAAACACTTTAAAAAATAATAACAAACATTATTATAAACTAATATATGTGAGAGTGCTTAGTTGAAACAAAAAGGAGTTTTAGTAGACAGTATTATACTATATTTGAAAATCAAGGAGAAGTTTTTACAACTTAAAATGTTTACAAACTGCAGTGCAATCTACTGTTTGTGAATGTCAGAGTATCAGGAAAAGTGTATATACAATCACAGAGTCATATTTCCTCACAAAGTTATTTACAAAGAGTGAAATATGTTTTTATACCTCTCAGTTTCAGTTAGAGGCATATTTTGTGCAATATTTATGTTAATGTGCCTATACATTATGAATGAATTATTTCAGTCATACATTGCCTAAATCATAACTCTATGATGCTTGGGAAAGAATCAACAGTTAAAACTTCATAAAGTTCTAATGTCTGTGTTTCAAAATACATCACATTATTAGGCTGTAGGGAGATACGTATGTGTGCTCCCTAGGGTGGCAATTTCTAGTTACTAGACCACCTCTATTTTTAGCATTTGGCATCCTCATGATACTTTTATAAATATGACATTAATAGGAAAGCAATAATATCATTTTACAGATGGAATAACAGATTTGCCTGCATTCACTGAAAGAGTGCAAAGATTGGGTCCTTGTGAATTCAACTGACTCTTTCAAATTGTATTAATTACCTGTTCTTGCCTTTTATTTTCTGAACTTGCTGCTTTTGCATTCTTTTGAGTTCAAAGACAGTTACTTCAAATCCATTTTTAAACCCTCGGGGTAGAAATCATACCACTGTTAATTAGCCACATTATTTTGGTCTAACGTTTTTTCTTTATAATTCTGAAACTGAGTTTATCTAATATATTGATGAATTATTTCAAAGGTATTTTTATAGTGCAAATCACTTCACTTTTACACTGATAAATATAAATTACTAGGAATGACCTTCAGATAGCATTTGGCATCTGTAACCAATCTGAAAATAATGTGTTCATCAGGTACCTATGGATTAAATCATATACTGGCATATTTAAGCTGAATGTCAGTCTGGAAAATAAATTTACTATATTAACTGAAATACCACTCTTTGTGTAGGTATTTTGTCATATATTTAAGAAAAAGCTAAAAAAAAATGGAAATCTTATGACATTTTGTCATATATTTAAGAAAAAGCTAAAAAGAATGGAAATCATACGACATAATAACTAAGTCTTTCTTAAAAGTGCATGCAGTCTTTTGCAATACCTCATTCAGCCAAGTATTTGTTCTCTTCCTCATTCAGTATAAGGCAGCTTTCAGTTTTCTTAGAAGGCAACATTAGAAGGTTAGAGTTCATCAGAAACATAGAATTTTAAAATGTGAGTTCAACTGAATGAATTTGAATTTCTGTAGGAGGTAAAGAATCAAAATACCAAATTGCAATATATAATAATCACATTTAAATTATTTGATTAAACCTTTTAGGTTTTCCAGAAATGAAAAGAATCAGTTCTAAAACCAAAGCTGATTTTTAGAAAATTTGAAAATGTAAATCAGCCCTATCCATAATATAGTTTCTATAAAACTTTATCTTAATTTTAAAATAATATAACTATTAAAAATGTAACTGATACATAAATGTTTTGAAATAAAACATTTAAAAATATAAATACTGTAGTTTAAAAGAAAGAAACTGGGGGAAGGAAAAGTAGAGAAAGAAATGCCAATTCCAGTCCAAAGCTTTATTTGCCAAGTTTTCTTAGAGTGACTTTTACCAATTTACGAATTCTTGTAAGCAGAATCTATAATGGAAATACTGAAAGACTTGCCTAAAGTGGCATTATTGAATGCTGCTGTGATGCTACTGTAATGTAATAAATTATTAAATTGTTGCAAAGTGCTGTTTTTGCCTTAAAATTTTATTTTGTGTGTCTTGAAAACTATAGTATTAAAGGTATTGAGATTGTGCAAATGCTGGGCACGCTTGGCATGAGATAATCTGTTTTTATTTTTACAAAATTGTAATATAACTATGCAAGTGTGTTTATTAAAAGAACACAAACTATATTAGTTGTATTGTGTATTTCTTTTGAAACATTCTTTAAAACTTACTTTTAATGGTTTTTATTTAGTCATGATTAAATGTCTTTGGAATGTCTCTTTTTCCTTAATGTAGTCTCATGAGTACAGGCCAGCAAATTGTTTTATATCATAGGGGGCAAAAGAAATGTTTAAGTGGTCAAGATGAAAAGAATTTGTTTGGAGATAATCATATGTATCTCAAAAGTGAAATAAAGTTTGATTTTAATATGTTGTTGCTCACAAAAGTAAGCAAAACATAATCTAGGCTAATAATAGACTATTGTGTTTTCATAATTTTTACTGCAACTTTTTTCTAAAAAGATTGATGGAACTTACAAATGAATACTCATTGCAAATGTAGAGTAAGACCTTTAGTACAAAATAAGAGTTTATGTAAAAGAAGCAGCAGTGCATGCTTGGAGGCATCAAAGTTCAGCAGTGTTAAAGTTAATCGTGTGTTGGTGGTTATATAAGCCCTTGGGTGGAAAGAAAGATACGGATCTAAATCCAGTCCATCCATCAACATCTAGCACAACCAACCTCTTTCCAAAAAGCCTTTCCTCATCTCTGGAAAGTTATTCAACTAACTTGTATTAAGTGTTTACATAAGGCCAAGCAGGTGCTGGAGATACAAAACTGAGTGTCAAGTGGCCATTGTCTTAGGTGGTACGTAGTTCTTTGAGGGGATTAGGCCCATATGGAGATAATTATAAAACAGCATATTCAGCACAGTGATAGATATTTACCAGGCACTTAAGGACTGCATAGAAGGAATACCAAATTCAACCATAGATTGGTGAACGAGAGACTTGCTGGAGGAAGCAACTGCCAGGTCCATAAGATAAGTAGCAATAAGCCAGATTCGGTGGGTAGGATGGTGGAGTGTATGATAAAGACAAGAAACGGCATGGTGGGGAAGTGGGGAAGTGTCATCGTAAGCATTTCAGTATTGTTAGAATGGAAATAACAGAGCTAGGAACTGTGAAAGTTGAGGCTTGAGAGGCAGGCCCAGGGCTGAGTCAGAAATTCTCTAGCTCAGCTGTATGTTGGAATCACTTGGGAAACTTTAAAAATCTAGAGTCGCTGGGGTCCTAATTTAAATGGATTGAAGTTCGGCCTGATCAAGGGGGTCTTTCAAAGCCTCCCAGATGATTCTGAAATGCATCCAAGGTGGAGAAAAAAATGATGAAACAGAGTTCTGAGGGAAAATTGGCAGAAATTGGGGATTGATGGGATATGAGTGTAGGTGGAAGTCAGTTGTTTCCAGATTTGTGTCTTGAGGGACAGGGTGTGATAGTAGTGCCACCAACTGCAGTGAAGAATTAGAGTTGGGGGAAGAAGAGGAGTTTGGAGCACCTATGGGATGTCCACATAGAAATTGTCAAGCAGGTGGTCAGATAAAATCAAGATAGACAACATCATATGTACACCACCTGGTGGAATGACATACATATGGGTAGTTGTGGAACCAGTGAAAGTAGATGAGATTATTTGGGAAGAAGATCAGACC